CTACAGGTTCTCAGCTTTTATATACTTCCAGAATCGTCTCAACAGCGAGAGAAGTCACTTTCGCCACCTAGCGGTGAAAGTATAGGAGCGACAGTAATCTTTAACATTACTAAGGAAACCATGTGGAATACCACGTAGGATTCCATGTGGTTTCCTACGTGGGGATTTACATGGGATTTTACTTAGGAATTCATTTGGGAATTTATTTCTACTTAAATTCCTAAGTAAAATCCCATGTAAATCCCCACGTAGGAAACCACATGGAATCCTACGTGGTATTCCACATGGTTTCCTTAGTAATGTTAAAGATTACTGTCGCTCCTATACTTTCACCGCTAGGTGGCGAAAGTGACTTCTCTCGCTGTTGAGACGATTCTGGAAGTATATAAAAGCTGAGAACCTGTAGCAGAGAGGACGTGTTTCAAATGATCGTTTTTTACTTTTTTGATGACTTGTAACACTAATACTATTTATTATTTAATTTTTTATTAAATAATTTTTAATCCTTTGAAAATTTCTTCATTGGATCTTTAATAAAATACTATGTGATATCTCATATTAAATCCTAGGTGAAATCTTGCATGAAATCCTATGTCAATTCCCATATAAAATCCTATGTGAAATCCCTTGTAAAATTCCAAGTGGATTCCCATGTAGGGATATTCAATAAGGCGGATAATGTTTTTCACATGGGATTTGGTTTAGGATTTGACATGGGAAAATAATTATAAATAAATGATACTGTTTTTCACTTGGGGATTGACTTGGGAAAATAATTATAAATAAATGATACTGTTTTTCACATGGGATTCGGTTTAGGATTTGACTGGGAAAAACATGTGGGATTTGATATGGTTTTATGCATAGATGAACTGTTCAAATTCCCCATGTCTATTCCTAACTAAAATCCTGTCTCAATTTCCCATATGGTTTGACATGGGAAACCACATGGTAAACCACGTGGTTTCCTTCATGGAAGTAGGGTTTTACATGGTTTTTGACATATGATCCCATGTGGTTTCCCATGTGGTTTCCCATATGGGGATTTTCAATAGGGATCTTCACCACGTGTTTGCGACGTGGGAGTCCCTCAAGGAGGTGTCCTGTCACCGTTATTGTTTAATCTTACCCTCAGGAAGATTTACAAATGTCTTCCAGTGGGAATTCGCATTCTGCAATTTGCCGATGATATATTACTGTACATAATATATGATGATTTAAATGAGGCCCAGGCTATCTTGGAGGACGCGGTGGATGCTATTACCGCTGACTTATTGGAGTTTAGGCTTTCAATCTCACCAGGGAAGACTCAATTCTGTGTATTCAGTAGGAAAGACAATGATTCACTTCCGGGAGACATTAGGATTGGAAACATTATGGTCAACAACTCAGCAACACTTCTTTACTTGGGAGTCACCCTGGATAGGAAACTCACTTGGGAGTCCCACATTAGGGATATATCAGGAAGGGCAGCATTAGCCTTAAATGCCCTTCGTGCACTGGAGGGAATCTCGAATGGAGCCAATCCAGAAACATTACTGATTGTCTATAAAGGACTGATTAGAGCGATACTAGAATGGGCCTCTATATTGTTTGCGAACGCGCGCGAATCTTTGCTTGCAATGCTTGATAGGGTTCAATAAGCGGCAATTAGAATAATTCTAGGCTTCATGCGGTCGACTCCTATACCTATTATACTCACGGAGGCAGGAGAGCCACCTTACTAGTAGAAGATCCCTTCTGCTAAACAGAAATGCAAGAGACTCACAAGTTGGAATGACATCCCTGTTCTACCCCGATTGCTGAAACTTAGAAGGTTATCGGAGGAACTCCCAAATATGTGACTGGATTTCCACTTTTCCAATCCTTGAATTCGTTTCTGGAATTGCAAAAAGGCTCAAAAAAACGAAATAGGCCTAGTAATTTTGATGTTTCATGGAATGATCTGATCTTTGATCTGGATTTAATACTATAAAACTCTGAGATGGGTGGTGAGATCGGGATGTCTGATTCGCCAGACATACTCTTAAATTGCAGACTGTCTACGGAGTTTCCTAAATCAACTGTGTTTTACACAGATGGTTCATATAAAAAATCCACTGGAAGAGCGGGCTTTGGAGTATTTGCGCTAGTCATCAACTTTAAACAGGGAACTAGATTGATTGGTTGCAGTTCGGCCTGCATGGCCGAACAGATTAAATAAAAAAGTCGACTTTTTTCAGTTTACAGATCATTGAGATTTGTGGAGGATAAAGAGATCAGGAAGGCGGTAATATGTACAGATGCCTTGAAAATTATCAATGATCTGAAATCCAGAATCAATGGCAAAGAGATGGCTCCTACTATATATGGAATAGCAGAAATTACTGTAAAATTATTAAAGGCAGGATATGAGTTGAATTTCGTTTGGATTCCTTCCCACAGAGGTATTTTTGGAAATGTTGAGGCGGATATTGGAAAATATATGGATTACTTGGCTGCGGATAACAGATCAATCGTGGATGAGGATTTCAAAGCAAGTATGAGACATCTTTGGCCTTTTTTCCCGGAAGTAAGACTGAAACAAAAATATTTTAATTATATTTCAGCAAAATCGGAAAAACCTGGGTTCCATAAGTTGGATCTATCGAGAAAAACAATATGCCTGATTAACAGGCTGAGATCTGAACATCCCTTATTTGTGCAAGTGTGGGTTTGAAACTAGTTCGTTGCAATATTATATTTATGACTTTTATTTTTATTTATTTAAAAGAAAAAATTGACTTTTAAAAAGAAGCTAATTTTTAAGGAATGAAAAAAGTGTAACCTTGAGTGGACCACTCCTAATTAATTGCAAAAGTTATTCTAAATTCTTTAATGTATTTAATATTTCTGATATATTAAAACAAAATTTATGCTTATGCAGCTTCAGACCATGTATGTGTTTGCAATGTTTGCAAGTGAAACCATTTTTAATAATTTTGGCACATATCACATCAATTTCACAAAAAAATTAATAAAGAACATAAATCATAGTTAACTAATTTATTGTCAATTTATATCTAAAAAATGGTAAACTAACATTAAAAATGGAAAAAACAGGCAGTCCACTCAAGGCGACATGCAACTTTTTATGGCAGCCACCACAATTTTTTTTAGTCAAAATTATCACTTAATTATACTAAGACAATCAATTTGAATGTTCAAAGTAGTCGGAAAAAAATAAGTAACCTTTTAAAACTTAAATTTTACACTACTTTTACACTTCCGAATCACTTTACTCATTGTAAGAGCGACTTTTTTTTTGGTTTGTGATCATAAAAACTCGTTACATCAAACGGTAACGTATATGTCTATCGCGGAACTTAATTATATAGCAAAAATTATAGCAAAATACACTATTTGTTTATGCTTTTTTTATGTGGAATTTTACATATTAAGTTTCAATGAAGTATCCCAGAAATATTTTTTTTTTAAATTTAATTTCTAAATTGTTCTAAATTGTTTATTTATAAAATGATATTAAAAAACTGTGTTCTTCATTGTCTTATATTTAGAAATTTTTAAATAATTTTTTTTAATCCATTAAGAAATAAGTTAATTTAACAATAAATTTTTATGAAATCTTTGAATAATAAAAATAATTATTACTTTCTATAAATAATAAATAAAGAGACTGTGAAGTTAAATGCTTCAATCGTGTATCGTTTTTAATAAAGAATACTATTTATTTATTATTTTTTCTTAACTGTTTTATGCACTGAATGTATGTAGAATATAAAACAATTCTTTAATATTTTTTACATGAAGAACACGATTTTTTATTAACATTTTATAAATAAATAATTTAGAAAAGTAACAAAAATAAAAATTTTTAAAGATAAAAATTATTTTTCAATACTACCTAATTAAAAAGTAAGAACGCCTGCGCATAGGCAATCCCTGTATTGCAGGACTAACGTCTTATTCAGGGAACCCATCATTTGTTTATAAATAACTTTAAACGTTTAATTTCAAAAAAGCAATATAACACACTTAGCCAAAACTATTCTTAACACTTTCCAAAAGTGGAACACTTTTGAATAGAAGAAAATATGCGTTAAAGTTAATTAGAAATTAAAAGAATTGCGCTTGGAATTTTAGGTCAAAGGAGGACAATTTACCACTTTTACAATTTTTTTTTTCATGGCAAAATTTAGAACTAATTTAATTAATTTAGAGCTAATTTACTGCTCTACAATAGGATTAAAAAGAATTTTCCAAAAAATACCTACCGAAAATAAATATTTAAACTTGTGACTTACTTACAGTTAACATTTTTTATGAATGTGTTGAGAAAATTCATCATTTTTTGTCCATCAATAAGATAGTTTTCTTTTTTAATTAATAATTCTACTTTCATTTTGAGGACATAGAAAGTAAAAATATCATAATTATTATAAATAAATGTTACTATGGTTACAAATTAATTAAATTGATTTATTTTATTTGTTTAGAACAAATTGATATGGGTATATAAAGGGATTAGGCAACAAAATATTACATAACATGTTTACCAATTTTACTAATATAAATTTTGGTGACCATAACCGGAATTGCCAATTGAGCTCCTGGATTTTATAACTGCTACTGCTCGCGGTCCGGAAGGGATAATACCAGTCAGGTAGCAGTGAACTAATTTTATATTAATAAATTAATTTTTAAAATTAGATTATCTAATAAGCCATTTAAATCATTTTAAAAAATATTGATAGTTAAAATGTTCCTAAAGATAAGATCTAAAGCTATAAAGTCCGTGCATTCTTTTTTTTTACTAAATTCGCTTGAAAATTGTTACTTGGGAGTTCAGGGGTTGCTGAATACGAATCTGATGTCAGTTTTCAACAATTCAAAATGGAAGCTGCGACATATGGGACAAAAAATCAAAATCTAATTTAATTTGTTAAACACCTTGCTCCTTTCGTTACTAACATGATTAGATTAGATTTACAATAATAAAGTAAACAACAGTAGTATCCAAGTGAGTTTACTAGATTTAAAATGTATTTGTCAAGAGTTCCACTGTGATGCACAAGGTTCATATAGTAATTTTAAACCAAATGGTAATTATATCAAATTTGCATTGCTTTTACTTATGAATAGTGATTGTGAAACAAAGAATATTTTAAAAAACTTTCAGACATTTCGAAGCCCTAGTCGTGGTTTGAAAATTAGACGATGAGGTTTAGGCGAAAGAGTGATTCCACAATCTCCTTCTATATCAAGCGATGCGTTTGGATGACTGGATATGGTAAATGATTGCAGTATTCGAGATGTAAAGAATAATAATATCATCCTTGCAAGTTCGTCTCCCACACACATTCGTTTACCTAATACAAAAAAAAATATTATAATTAATAATAAAACTTTAGAAATATTGAACAATAGTATCAATAGTATCATATTTTTGTGTTTTAACTCACCACTTTGAAATGGTATGAAAGCTTCTGGTTTAGCTAGACTGCCATCTTCAGCCAAGAATCTTTTTGAGTTGAATTTTTCTGGATCAATCCAGTATCGTGAATCCATGTGGACTGCCCACTGCAAGGGAATTATCATGCTTCCTTTGGGTATATCATATTCACAAATTTTTGAATCCTGAAACATTTAATGCCTATTTGTGACCTAGTCAGAAATTTGCACTTGGTGCACAATGTACTAATAAATTTGTTCCAAGGCATAGGGAAATTAAATATTTCAAATATGATTTTAAATTAAAACCCGGATATGTCGGAAAAGTCGAACCTTGCAAAAATTAATATTTTCTTTATTTTTAAATCTACTGACTTAATTTCATAAAAATTTGTAAACATACACACTTTTATTGATCCGTGAGGAAATCCTAAAGGTACAATTGATCTTATACGTTGAGTTTCTGCAATAGCTGCTTCGAGTTTCGGTAAGCTGGATCTATCATTCAATGTGATCTCTTGATCACCTATAATGGCTTCTAATTCTTTTTGCATTTCTTCCTTAAAAAGGTATAAATTAATGTTAGAATATCTAATTAGGAATTTTATAAAAATTTAAATAATATTTTTAAATTTGTTTTATATTTATAATAAACCTGCTCTTCTGGGTGCAGTGCCATAAAAAGTAGAAACCAACGCAAAGTCGTTAGAGTTGTATCAACTCCAGCTCCGAACATGTCAGCCAATAGGTAATATATTTGAGGATGGGCAAAAGATGAGATATCATTAGTATTCATTCGATTTTTCAATTCAAGTAAAAAAGCTGCTAAGAAATTGTCTGAAGTTTTTGGATCATTTTGATGATCTTCTATTATCTTTTGGTATATGTTATGAGTCTTTTTTTGTCCATCTGTGACAAATTTCAGCATATTCTTGTACTGAGGCAAGTACCTATTATTATAATTTTTATTATTTTTTAATTTATTAATATTATTATTATCAGCTATTCTCGAATCATCTTTAAATTCTACTATGGTTTAAAAGATGTAATCAGTAGCACAAAAAGAATATGTTAGTTGTTCACAAAACTTGTTAGTCTAATTTTATTTCAGTTACCTGAGGAGAGGTAGAAAATTCAAAGGACCTGCAACACCAATGTATTTTAGACCTTCGTCCTGAAGTTTCTGCAGCATGATCCAAGTTTGATCAGTTTCTTCGTAAGTAATTCCAAACACTAAGTCATTTATAAGATTTCCTAGGCAATGGTGCAAAATGTGAAAGGGATCTATGCCATCTACTGAACATCCTTGTTCTTTCAGTTTCTAAAAGTTTAATCTTTATTTGACACTAAATCCTAAATATACTAAATCCTTCCCCACTGCCTACCATTTCACGGACATCAGTATTTAAAATATATTCATTTTAAGAAATATTAATTCATACCAAAATCGCCTCATTTGCAGTGATCGAAATCCTTTTTTCTAATTTTTCCCTTTTCGAACATGAATATTTTAATACACCAAAATCTTTTAGACATTTTACCACGAATTTTCTTTGCTCTCTCCAAGATTCACCTTCAGAACAAATTAAACCTGAAATAGTAAAATAAAACTGTCACTGAATTTAACAATTTAACTTAACTGCTTAAATTAATTTAAATTAATTACTTAAATTAATTTAAATTAATTACTTAAATTAATTACGCTAGTTTTAATATTGTGACTCATTCAAAAGACGATAAATTATTGAGGGCAAAACTTTTATTCTTTCAGACTCTTGCTGCTGACATTCAACTATTTTTAACAAAATTTCAATTGAATAATCCTCCAGCACCATTTCTATACTCTGAGATCATTTTTATCTTGAAATTCGCTTTTAACTGATTTATAAAAATAGATGTTTTAGAAAGAACTAATTTCTTAGATGTATATGGTGGATCCAATAAAGATCTTTTTGATCCTACAGAAAAATATTATCTGCACTGTTAAAAATCGGACTCCAACATACACCGAAAGATTGAATCTTAAAAAGTATGAATACTTTCATTTGATTGGATTCACTAAAAACTTTAAACCAATGAAATGCAAGCATTCACAGTTTGCGAGATTGAAATAACATCATTTCAATCTTTTTGGTGTAAAGTTGGAGTCCAATTTTTAACTGTATGTACATTCTGTAAACCTATAACTTTTCGACAATTATTCAAAACAGTTTTCTAGATTTTTAGTAATTTTTATTTTAAACTAAATTTTACAAATTAGACGCGACTTCAGAGTAACATATTTCGTGAATTTTTTAAAGGAACAAATCGATAAGTTTAGTACAAAAAATTTCTTACAAATATATTGATGTATAAATAGCACTTCTGTTAAGCGATTGCTATTCTCTACAAAGAAAAATAAAAAAACTTTTTGAAAAATCTTATTTCATTGATATTTTTTGCTGAAATAAAAGTTTCCTATTCTTAAATCTTTTTATATAAAGGATAAATTGTTAATGCGTCATAAAAGAAATAAGAGGGATTGATGGTAGAAGTTTAAAAAAAATTGACCATGATAGTTGAACTAAGAAGACATTGTCATTTAAAAATTTATTGCCGTAACGTAAATGATGACTGGGCGAGCGTCATATGCACGTGTAAAGAATGAATTCACAAATCAGGTGGTGGGTTGGTTGGTTGGTTGGTTGGTTTGAGTCAACTACCCATGAAGCGTCAACGTGACTAAAGGAAAAGAATTACAGGAAATTAATTTGGCAAAAAGGCTGGGCATTACGGAGTAGACATTTTCGGAGATAGGATCCAACGTTCCAAGGACAAGTAATACCGGATTTGCATAATGCATCTAGCCCAGTTCCCGTGGCGAATGCGTATAAAAAAAGGTGACAAAAATCCTTATTCGGCCCTGACATTCGAGAGTGAGTCTGAATTCACACGAGTCATTCTGACGGGAGGTTAGCCAGTATTTTTATGATTCCATTTACATGCTTGCACTTAGAAAGAAACTAATTTGTATCAACGAATTTTTCGTTGGATCAAATCTGTTGCCATAATTCAGATACGTTCCTATGACGTACGTATGCTTAAATTTATCGTTCTCCTAATTGACATTTTGTTTCTTTTTACAAAAACATATTTCATATTTATAATCTTTTCTAATCGATAAAATAAATTATTTATCTTCAATAACTAAAATTAAACATAGTTTTTGAAACAACTCTAGGTATGATTTTGACTGCCAAAGAGAATAATATAAAATTATAATTAAATATTACTATAAACGTAGATACAGACATGTCTTACTGCATGAAAAATTAAAAATCAAAGTAGATTTCATATGTTGAGCAGACATCATGAATATTTTCTTAAGATGACATATATAACAATTTGTCGAAATTTGAGTTTTTATAAAAATTAATTCTATCAATAAGAAGTAATGGTAAGTTTGAAAAAGTACTTACCATAGCCTTTCATAATACCATGTGTGAGATATAATGGAGCTCTTCCGGAGAATTCTTCTTTAACCAAAACCTGCTTAATAATATGATGATCAGATAGCACAACAGTATAAACTGAACCCATATTTATTCCAAATATTGGTCCATACTTCTTTGCTAAAGCCGTTAATGTTAAGTAAGGATTTTTAGCATCGATAAATGGTAAATATCCAAGAAAAGGCAGTTGCCACGGACCAGGAGGCAATTTTAATTTTTGTCTCTTCTTGTTGAAAGTGTACATCGCAATCAAAAAAACGAAACAGAGCAAGACGTGTAAAATCAACATTATTTTATTAAACAACCTGAAAAATAATTATTTTATTATATTTTATTACACACAAAGCTTAAATTATATAGGGGAGACCGGGGCGCTATGGATAGGTAGCTTTTACTCTTTATTGTTTTACTTTGCCATTTTTAAATTATTTAAATGTTTATTTTAATAGTTTTGTTAAGATAATAAAAATGACTTTTTTAAAAATTTACAAACCTGAAAAATTAAAATAACCGGAGATGTAAAAAAATTCTATATTGAAATAATTTTCAAATAATAGCTACGTTCGGGCTGTCTTTCTCAACCGCAATATCTACTTCGAGTTATTTAGAAGCGGAAAGAATCCAGTCTTCTTATTGGTCAGATTTAGTCCCCACCGCGCAATTCAAAGTAGATATTCCGTTTGGGACAGACAGCCCCAGCGTAGCTTCTGTTATTGCACCAGGGTTGCCACGCTTTTTGCTCACATGGCTCACATTTCAAATTCCCTGACTTTTCCAGGTTAAAAAACCGAATTTTTCCAGGCTTTTTAAAACGAAAATTATTTGAAAAACAGCAATAACTTTATTTTTAAATAACTATTTAATCATTATTTTTTTTATAGAAATTAAGATATTCAAAAATTTGAAATTCATTAACATATGAGAATATTATTATAAAACATGAAGAAAGCGGAGTGATCGCTTTCTTCATGTTTTATAATAATTGAAACTTACTACTCTGTTACTGTAACTTGTTCAAAAATTATTTTCATCATTACGATTATTCATTTCTAGAATTTTCAACTAAAATTCTTCTTAAAGTCAATTTTTTTAAACAATTTTTAAAAAAGTTCTTTGTGAATTTTTAAATTCTTTTGTTTATAATTTAATTTTACGAAATTTCGATTATTCGTAAATTCTTCAAATTAAATATATTAGAAGTTAAAAACTTCAAATAATTAAAAAAAATTCCATTAAACTTATTGAGAAAAATTGTAGAAGAAAATTCTATAGAATTCTTAATTAAAAGTATGAAAAGTTTAAATTTTCAAAGATTTTAATTTGAAATTCATTTTTAAATCAATATTTATTACAAAATTCTACGAGAATTCAATTATTAAACTATAAAAATAAATATTTATTAAACAATTGAATATTTCTTAAAATTGAATTCTCATAAAGAATTTTATCAACAAATTTTCAAATAATTGAATTCTCTTGACAAATTTTAATAAAATTTTTAAAAATAATATTACATTTTTTATTAAAATTTTTGAAAATAATTTAATTATTTAAAAAATTTAAAATAAATTGTAGCAAAGGTTTTTAATATTATTGAATTTTTTTGATAAATTTTAATACAATTTTTAAGAATAATTACATTTTTCGAGGAATTCCATTAAAATTGTATTAAAAATAATTTAAATTCAGCATGGAGTTTTATTATTTATGAAAGTAATTGAATCCCTGTAAAAAATGTTATTATTTATGAAAATAATTGAATAATAATTTATGAAAATAATTTGTAAATAATTGAAATCCTGTGAAATTTTTATTATTTCTAAAAAAGAAAATTTTTAAAAATAATTAAAATTTTGCCAAGAATTTTATAAAAAATTTTGAAAATAATGGAATTTCTGAAAAGAATTTTACTACTTTAAAAAATAATGGAATTTCTGAGAAGAATTTTACTACTTTTGAAAATAATTGAATTTCTGCAATCATTGCTTCAAAATTCAATTTGTTTTAGTAATTTTAACTAAAATTCTTCTATAAATATACTATTTTTATTTTTAAAAAATTTTTTAAATCTAAGTTTTTTCATATCTTTAATTAAATTCATTTAAAATTAAAATTTTACAAAATTTTAAATTAAAATCTTTTGAAGTTCATCTACTTATGAAAATTGTAAACGCAATTCTTTTAATATTGAATCAATTTTGAAATATTTAAGTGAAATTAAATTTCATGAATAAACACAATAACTGTATAAAACAACAATTTTCCAGGATTTTGATCAAAATTCCCTGACTTTTTTTAGGTTTTTTCAAGGTTTATAAAATTTCATGACATTTCCAGGTTTTCCGGGTTTCCAGGTTGCGTAGCAATCCTGTGCACGCTGAGGCTCAATTATAATGAAAGAAGTAAAATTACGGCTTATTAAACTGAAAGCGAGATTAAATTAACACCAAAAAGGATTAAAATAATCCATTTTGGAGTTATTTTTTACTACAGCTGAAATTTTACTTCAAGTCAAAATCAAGTCGATTACTAACAACTAACTAATTAACTTAGCTACTAACTAACTTACTAACTACCTTACTAACTAACTTACTAATTAACTTACTAACTAACTTAGTTACTTACTACTTTAATAAGTTAGTTAGTAATCTAATAAGTTAGTAAGTCAGTTAGTAAGTTAGTAAGTTAATTAAGTTAATTAGTAATTTAGTTTGAAAGTTATTTAGCTAGTTAGTTAGTAAGTTATTTAGTAAATTAGTTAATAAGTTAGTTAGTAAGTTAATTACTTAGAAAGTTAGTTAGTTAGCTCGTTAGTTGGTAAATTTGTTAGTTAGTAAGTTGGTTAGTTACTAACTAACTATTGTACTTGGTGAAGCTAAATTCGTCAAATTTTGACAAATCGTTGACTTAGCGTTTGATTTAAAGTAAAATTTCATTCATAGTCAAAAACAACACTAAACAACACTGGTGTTATTTTAACACCTCACGATTTACCGCGTTATTTATTACAGATAAACTTTATTTAGTTCAAACAAAAACTTTATTTCCTCAAAAAGAAAAATTTATTGCAAATATATTATATTTGGTTCAAATAAAACATTTCTTTGGGATAAGCAATGTCCTAGTGTTTGCAACGGAAAAGTTACTGCAGCGCAAGCGCAGTTGCATCTCAGTAGTTTTCCTATGGCAAAATAGTTGTTCAAAATTCAGCCTCAGAATTTTCCATACTTTTGTGTTATAAATATGGCAATCCTGATCTATGGACTAAACAACAATTTGAGAACAAATCTATCAATTTCTGCACGGGGAAATATTGAAAAAATAATTTTAGGAACTATGAGTTTTATTTGAGTGTATTCAGAAAAATTATAAAAAACCTAGTGTGACTTTAAAGTGCTGACTTACCTCTGAAATTCGAATCTTAGTTCTGTTTTCAACGGTTTCAAATCACTTTGGCTCTAAAGTTATACTCTTACTACCAAATTAACGACAAAGGCATAATATTCCAAGCTCCGTTATTCTAAAATGTGTCCTGATACTTTTAATGGGAAATAAAATCAGAGCAAAAATAAAACCTCGCACTTTTCTATACAAAACTTTGAAGGACACTAACTTCACATAAACGCATGAGTCACTTATTCAGGGCCGCCAACTTCTTATCTCAAATCTTCCTAACACAAAAAATCAGTAGGTCATATACCTGCAAAGAAAAAAATAGAAACCTAAATGTCCACTAAAAATATTTCGCACTCTTTAATATCTGCTTCACTTTTCAATAATTCAAAAATTTTTGAGAATAAACAATTTTTTTCAAAACTCAAATTTCATGTTATACCTGATTTGTAATTTTAATGGAAAATCAGAAAAATGATTTGTTATATGTTTAGCTTAACTAATACTGTGAAGAATCAGAGAACACAAGAAAGATTAGATACAAAGTGTTGAACACCTGAATCTCACAAACATAACTGTGTGAAAGCTTTGTTTCTACAAAAGAGATTCAATATTTTGAATTTCAAATAGTACTATTGCTTAGTCAAATACTTATTGTGAATCTATTTACGAAAGCAAAGAATTTTTAGAGTATATCTTTCAAATTTTATAATATTGAAAAATCAAGTTCTTTTTTTAAATTTGTTGTTTTAAATTGTTTTACAAATACTGACTCGGAATTAATTTATCCACCGAGTGATGATATTTAATAATATAGTAATGATGTTAATATTATAATAACGATATTTAATTATATAGTAATGTGATAAGTAATAATAATTATTAAATAATTGAAAATTTTCCAAGAATGAAATGTATTTACTGTAAAATATTTACAACATTGATTTACGCGAAATGCTTCTAATATTTACCATCTTACATTCATGAATTTGTTCTAAAACGTTTTCAGGAAATTTTGCGGAAGCGCATGTGCTTATTTTTAAATAAGTCTAGTGCTGAGTCCCATACTGACTGCAATGTGAGCAGAACGGCGTGGATCGTTTCATTTAAAACTTAATGGAATAAGTAAAATCTTTGAGTAACCTATATTATTATTTTTGTTAGTCAAAACATTCAGATATCTTATACTTATTCATATTCAATTTGAAACTAAATATATAAAATCTAAAAATGAAATGATTAAAAATATTAGAATTAGTGTGCATGAGCAAAAACTGTAGTAGCTGCAGCTACGCTCGGGCTGTCTGTCCCAAACGAAATATCTACTTCGAATTACGCGGTGGGGACTAAATCTGACCAATAAGAAGACTGGATTCTTTCCGCTTCTAAATAACTCGAAGTAGATATTGCGGTTGAAAAAGACAGCCCGAACGTAGCTGTTATAATTGCACGCTGCGGCTCAATTCTTTGAATTTTAGAAACTTCTCTTGGGGATTTTTATTATATTCTTTAGATATATAAACATCGAATCTCTTTAAAAATTAAATTTTTGGGTCGCTGACTTCGAATCCGAACTCAGTTTTACGTTATCACGTCAAGTTTCTTCAAAATGTTGGATCCAATATGGAAGTCGAATTTTTAAAAAATTTATCAGATTTGATTGAAACTTGTTACTCGGGAGTTTTTTGGGTCACTAAATACGTATTTTACCTTAGTTTTTTAAAATTCAAAATGGCGGATCCAATATGGCTGACGAATTTTTAAAAAATTAATCAGATTTTGAATTTTTGAAAACTAAGATAAAATTTGTACTCAGCGACCCAAAAAAAAATCTTAAGTATAACGTTTCAGGTAAATCCAATAAATTTTTTAAAAATTTCTCGGCTATATTGGATCCGCCATTTTGAATTTTTGAAAACTAAGGTGAAATTCGTATTCAGCAACCTCAAAAACCTCCCGAGTAACAAATTTCAGGCGAATTGTGTGAATTTTAAAACAATCGACGCCATATTGGATCCGACATCTTAAATTTTGAATATTTACGAGTTTCTTTGATTGTTTAACATTATATAATGTTTTTTCAGTGTTTTAAAGTTTTTTTCTAATAATAATAATTCCTTTACGAATTAAAATAAATCAAGGAATTTGAAAGTACTCACACAAAAGAGAATATTAGCGTTTGCTAAAATATTTACAACTGATTTTAATTGAAAATCATTCCTAAACTTTTTGGGATAAAAATCTAAAATTTAAATATTTAATATTCCTTCCTACGACAATAGAAATATTTTATGCTTCTAAATCACAATTTTGTCCACAAAATTATGAATTTCTTTTAGAAAAAGAAGAAATTTTTAATAAAATTTCTATTTCCTTTTTACAATTTTTTAACGAAATCCCAAGTATTTTTTTTAAAGAATTAAAAACTTTTCATAAATTTTATTTTTTAATCATATACCTATACTGATCGCCATTACAAAAATGAAATATTGTTAGAAAAAAAAAATTTTTTTATTACCTTTATTAGAAAAAGAAACTTTTAGAAAATTACCTTTATTAGAAGAAATTTAATTAGAATCACCTCCGTGAAGAAAATTAAGAAATTAAGAAATTCACCTCTATTAGAAAAAGTTTTAGAAAATATATTTTAGAAAAACTGTACCTCAACCATGTTTTTAAAATATTTATTCAATAAAATAAATAATAGTAGATTGTGCATCAAGGGAGGGAAATGGATGATTTCCGACGAGTGTAGTTTGCAGTTCGAGGCGTAGCGAGCAAACGAGCCGAAGGCGAGTGCTTGCGAGCGAAGCCGAGAACTGTAAAACACGAGTGGAAATCAATTTTCCTCCCGAGTTGCACATACTATTTTTTCTAACACACGTATACCGAAAGTACAAACGCGGCAGTTTGATTGTTACTTTTGAATGTATAGTTGTAGCTGGGGGCGGTATAGTTACAACTGTGGTAACTGAAAGTTTGTGAAAAGCTTAAAATAACTAAACTAACCCAAAGAGCGTAGGTTTACGCAAGTAGCGTAAGTAACGTAAGTAACGTAAGTTACGTAACTTACGTAAATCATTTATTATTTGTAACTCGAAAGACTAACATAACTACACCATTTACGTAAGTTACGTAACTACACCATTTGCGTAACTCGCGTAAGTTACGTAAGTCACTTAGCTGACGTAACTCACGTAACTGATTCATCAATGGTCATACTTTGATAATATTACCGAGAAAGCAAGTTACTTTTCCTCCCTCACAGGGAGGGAATGTTACATTCCCTCCCGGTGACGTCACTAGCCGGGAGGGAATGTACATTCCCTCCCGCTCGCAGGGAATCATACACTTTTCTCCCGCTAAACACGTAGGAAATGGTGTACTTTCGGTGCGTGTGGTAGAAAAAAATATTTATTCGGTAAAATGTTGACTTAACACATTTTTTAATTATTGTAAAATCTCCCTCGGGCAAAAAACCATGTTCGTTACAAAAACGTTCTTAGAACGTTTCATGTCTGCCAAAATGTTCCAAAACATTTTAAGAACATAGATGTTCAAATAAAAACGTTTAAAGAACGTTTTTGGAATAAACATGGTTCTTTACCCTGAGGGCTATTAATGCAAAAATTAAAATTTATTATAAAGTTTTGAAACTTAACATTTTATAAATTTTTAATATAATTTCTCAAAAATGCGATAAATTTATTCAATAGTTTTTTTTATAATAAAAAAAGCAAAAGATTTACTTAGATAGATAAGAAAATTATTTTTTTGAAAAATGAAATCAATAGAACATTCAAGAAACATAAGATACAATATACATTATTTCCGATCTTGTCCTACCAGAAAAATAAAAGTCATCCGATTGCCTTGAAAGTTTGGGGATCTGTTGTCCTTTGTAAGAGTAAATGAAATATTTGTTTACATCGTCAGTCGTGTGAAAGTAGAGTAGGTTAAGGTTTTGACGTTTAAGGGATTATTTACATTCTTAAAATTGTATATTTTCATAAAATTTATAAGTGTATTATAAATGTACAGGGTTTTGGGATTTTCCATGTACTGCTTAATGCTTGTAAAAATTTGTTTATGTATTTTAAATCTTTTCATTTATATTATATACAAGTTTTTATTTGTTCAAAATAATTTACATTCCCTTATAAAACAAGTAATTTTTACATTACATGTCACATGAAAATTAATGAAAAAGTCAGAAAATTTTGTCAAAAGTGCTGGAATAATATTCAATTTCAAGAATTCATAAGAAAATTCTGAATGTTATTCTTGAGCATTGAAAAGATTTTATATATTTCAAACTCTTCCTGTCTTTAACAATAATTAGACTTTACAGATTTAAAATTAATTTTCTTAAATAATTAAATTTTTGAAAAACTATCGAGAAAAAATTATTTTTTATTAATTATTTTGGAATAATTTTTTATTTAAAAATTAAAAAAATAATTGAATTTTATGAAATTTGTATTTAAATTTTTTTTATAAATAATATAAATAAGTAGTAAATGTCACGCCTGCCAAACAAAGTATTTAATTTATTATTATTATTATTATTATTATTATTATTATTATTATTATTATTATTATTATCATTACTCAAAAGAAATTCGATTATCTTTACAAAATTTCAATAAAAAATTCTTCGAAAAATTTATGAAAAATTACAAAAATGTTATCTTTTGAAATTATTACAGGTGACAGCTAAAAAAACGCGCGTGTAGTTTCTCCTAGTATTAATAGATAATTAATAATAATGCCTATTAACAATAAAAACTGGTACTTAATCACTTAACTATACTTAATCACAAAAAATAATTAAAAAATTTTAAAAAATTTCGTTAAAAATTGAAATTTACAAAATATATCACTGCTTTGCTAACTTTGCATACACAGGAAAAAAAAGTCTGACTCCGTTTACACCTTAAATTCAGCCCATGTATTTCACATAAGTCTGTCCTTGTTTAACGGGGCTGACTCCGTTTACACCTTAAATTCAGCCTCAAAAATAGGCTGAAAGTAAAACTTTTTTTTTAGTGTGTAAAATTTCATATTTGTGCCTTTAAAAAATGAATTTAAAAATGTCTTGATAAAATTCTTTATCAGACTTAAATTTTAAGAAATTTTAATTATTCAATAAATTATTTATTTTTGCATTCAAATTATTGAATTCTCTAATAAAAATTTATTTCAAAATGAATTTCAGTTAAAGTTCTACATAATAATTGAATATTAAAAGCATTATAGCATGAATTTTAAGAAATTATTAAATTTTAAAATGGTTCCAAATCAGATTCTTTAAAAATTTGTATTTTTCATACTTATAACTAACAATTCTGTAGAATTAATTATTTTAAAAAAGTTTAATTGAATTTTTTTCTGAAATTATTTGAAGTATTTATTTTTTAATTCGTATTTAGTTGAAGAATTTCTGAATAATTTAAATTTCGTAAACAAATGGATTTTAAAATTCTCCAAGAACTTTTTTCAAAAATTATTAAAAATAATTTATTCCTGTGGGAAAATAATAATGATTAAAATTTATTTAGAAAAGAAGTAATTGATGTTTTTAAATAATTT